GGACTGGGTGCCCGGTATGGCACAGCCGGGCGGGACTAGGTGCCCAGTATGGCCCAGCCAGGTGGGACTGGGCGCCCGGTACGGCACAGCCGGGCGGGACTGGGCACCCGGTATGGCATGGCCAGACAGCACTGCATATCCAGTACGGCACAGCCGGACGGGACAGGGGGTGGACTGGGTGCCCGGTATGGCACAGCCGGGCGGGACTGGGCACCCGGTATGGCATGGCCAGACAGCACTGCATATCCAGTACGGCACAGCCGGACGGGACAGGGGGTGGACTGGGTGCCCGGTATGGCACAGCCGGGCAGGTCTGGGTGCCCAGTACGGCATGGCCAGACAGGACTGCATATCCAGTATGGCGTGGCTGGATGGGACTGGGTGCCCAGTATGGCACAGCCGGACAGCACTGGGTGCCCAGTATGGCACTGCTGGATGGCACTGGGTGCTCAGTATGGCACAGCTGGCCAGGACACCGTCACCGCTGGCCCAGTGGACACCAGTTCCCCCACAGCAGAGCCCGGTGCGGCTGGCTGGGGCCAGGACACCCGACTGGCAGGGCCGGTGAGGACGCAGGCTGCGGGGCCACGGCCGCATGGGGACCAGGGTGTCTCCAGGGGTGTCCCCGGGGTGTCCCCCGGGCAGCAGGGGCTGACCCCGGTCACATCCCAGCCAGGACGGGGCTGTCCCCAGGAGCACCCGCACCCCACTGGCGGTGGGCTATCTGCAGGGTCTGGCATGGGGTGGCAGGACGGGGACCTCGGAGGCAATGGCACGCCGCAGGGCCAACCCTGATCCCGGGACGGATCCGTGCCTCTGGTCTAATTTTAGCTGGTTTAATTGTTCCGGGAGCGCCGGCGGCGTTTGACGGCCGGGAGTGGCAGCGCTGCCGGCGGCGAGGACTCGGCGGCTGCACCCGATGCTGGACGCAGCCGGGGGAGGCCGGGACTGTCCCCGTGCCGGCTGCTGCTGACAGGGTTTTGTCTCCGGCAGGATTAGGGTCGGAGCTGGAGGAGAGCGGGAAGAGCGGCGGCAAGAAACTGGACGCCATGACCCTGATTAAGGAAGGTAAGCTCCCTCCTTTGGGGAGAAAACCTGGCATTTTGGGACCGTGCTCGCCCTCCAGCCCGGACCCTCGGGCTGCGATGCTTCCCCCGGCACCGAGACCCGGTGGGAGCTGTGCCGTGCTGCTCACCGAACTCTCGCCCTGCAGACATGAACATCTTCGGCCACTGCCCGGCGCACGACGAGTTTTACCTGGTGGTTTGCAACCACTGCAGCCAGGTGGTGAAGCCCCAGGCCTTCCAGAAGCACTGCGGTGAGCTGGGGGGGGGCTCCGGGCACGGCTATCCCCCCCCACGGCATCCTCTCTGGCACCGGGAGGGACACGGGAAGGCAGCCGGGGCTGGCCGTGTTGGCACAGCCCGGGGTTGGGGGGCTAAC